CACCCGCACATCGGATCGCGCTGTGACCTCACTGCGTCCTGCGCTCCTTGAACGCAGAAGGAGGAGGAAGGGCGACACGAGACGAACTCTCTCCCTGCTGAAGCCCTCTCGTGGTGCCAGCAGCAGCAGCAGCAGCAAGACGTCGACACTGGCATCGAGATCCTCAACCAGATCGCTGCCATCACGCGCAAGAATAGCATAGTTGATAGTGGACGATATCGGTCGTGATGATTGTGGATAGTGAATGATGTCGATGATGATGATTGAATTACGTTATAATGGATGGTGTAAGATGATAATTATGATGTATAGTGAGCGTATCATGATACCAGTGATAATGGAGAGCGGATAATGTTAGAGAATACTATTGTTATTAGAATGGATCATTTATCATGGGGATAATGATGATGGTTATCATCTACAGTGCGTCCAAACAGCAATAGCAACTGTGGTTAAGGGGATGATGCTGATGATACCGCCTCAGGAAAACGCTGCAAAGGTTCAAATATTTCTAAAAGTCACCAGCAGGGTGTGACCTGAAGAAAGACACCCCAATTAGCATGATGCTATTGAGAAACGTCCTCAAGCCCGTGAAGTCTGCTCGATGCAGTACAGCAACAAAGATACGACTGAAGAGCCAGATACATGCACGTCCTCACCAATAATCTTCGTTTTTCGTTACAGCTGATGTCGATGCAGAGCCACTACAATTTCACATTGAAGTGGTCAAGCCAGATAACCGCGTCAATAATAATGACATACGGCCACTTGTTCAATACACTGCTGTGTGAAGGTGTCCCCACGGCGTGTAAGGGTCACGGGGATGTTTTGACCATACGTCACCCAGGTGACCATACTTCACCATACTTCACCATACTTCACCATACTTCACCATACGTCACCCAGGTGACCATACTTCACCATACTTCACCATACTTCACCATACTTCTCTCAGGTGACCATACTTCACCATACTTCACCATACTTCACCCAGGTGACCATACTTCACCATACTTCACCATACTTCTCTCAGGTGACCATACTTAACCATACTTCACCCAGGTGACCATGCTTCACCATACTTCACCCAGATGACCATACTTCACCATACTTCACATAATTTCACCCAGGTGACCATACTTCACCATACTTCACCCAGGTGGTGAGCGCGGCTTGGGGAAGTGGCGAGGTTCCGGACTTGGTTAAACTCGAAATCAAATTCACACTCGCCACTCACGTTAACAGTTTCCTGAAATCGATCGATCCAGATCATAAATAGCACACTGCCATCATCACCATCGTACACGATCCAACATCGGCATCGACATCAATGACTGCACCGTACAATCGTCATCATCGTCATCCCGACGCCCCCCACCCCACCGATCCGCCCCCCCCCCCCCCACGTAAGCGCCGCGCCTCCGTCTCGGGTGCCGCACAGAAGCCGGGGCGACGCAGCCACCCACGGGGTCCCTCTCCTCGTCCCTCTCCTCGTCCCTCTCCTCGTCCTCCTCCTCGTCCTCCTCCTCGTCCACCTCGTCCCTCTCCTCGTCCTCCTCCTCGTCCTCCTCGTCCTCCTCCTCGTCCTCCTCGTCCCTCTCCTCGTCCCTCTCCTCGTCCTCCTCCTCGTCCTCCTCCTCGTCCTCCTCGTCCCTCTCCTCGTCCCTCTCCTCGTCCTCCTCCTCGTCCTCCTCCTCGTCCACCTCGTCCCTCTCCTCGTCCTCCTCCTCGTCCTCCTCGTCCTCCTCCTCGTCCTCCTCGTCCCTCTCCTCGTCCTCCTCCTCGTCCTCTTCGTCCTCCTCCTCGTCCTCCTCGTCCCTCCCCTCGTCCCTCTCCTCGTCCCTCTCCTCGTCCTCCTCGTCCCTCCCCTCATCCCTCTCCTCGTCCCTCCCCTCGTCCCTCTCCTCGTTTCTCTCCTCGTCTCTCTCCTCGTCCTCCTCCTCGTCCCTCTCCTCGTCCTCCTCCTCGTCCCTCTCCTCGTCCCTCCCCTCGTCCCTCTCCTCGTTTCTCTCCTCATCTCTCTCCTCATCTCTCTCCACATCATTCCTCATCCTCTCCTCGTCCTTGTCCCTCAACCTAATCATTCCTCCTCCTTCTCGTTCCTCCTCTCCATTGTTCTCATACTCCTTTCTCACCCTCATCCTTGACTCTCTTCCTCCTCTTACTCCCCCTCCACCCTCCCCTCCCCCTGGTCCTCACCCCCCGCCCCCCCCCCCCGCATCTTCCTCGCTGTCTCGCCCAGAGCTCAATGAGTTGAGGTCGCGATTGGACGCGGGTCCCCTGTGGACGGAGGGATCGAGGGAGGTGAGTGCGTGATGACGGGAGCTCTAGAATCACTGACGATGATGATGATGATGAATGCACGGTGTGTATGTGTGTATTGTTGTGCATGTCATTTACGAGGAGCGGTGTATACATGGCATGCACGTTGTGCATGTCGTTTAATTATGCAACACGCACGTCTAACAAACAATACAAAAAAAGTCTGCAAATCTTCACGTAATCTCGGTCATTGATCCAACCCGTCTGTGATCAACAAAGTCAGTGGACCTACTGAGAACACGTGGAACGAGCGTAGGAGACCTGGGGAGGACACCTGGAGCTGGGGAGACCTGGGACACGTGGGACACAGGACACATCAGGAACACGTGGATTGAGACCGGGGCACGTGGAGCGAGGGAGACTTGGGACAGACACGTGGGAGTCCGATTAAGGTTTCTGCTGGGTGGTTCCCGACCAGACAGGAGCCCCGGTCAAAGCAGGGACCCCCAACGTGGCCATGAAGACTTCGTTCACCCTCCTCGTCCCCTTCCTCCTCCTCCTCGTCCTCGGACCCCGGAATCGCACGGTGTGTCCCCACACACCCACCCACACTCACCTGTGTGTGTGTGTAATAATGTGCATGCGCTGTGTCAGTCCACTGCCAAACCCATACGCTTGTCAGCGCGGGTCTGGGCAGACGGGGACCCCACAAGTGTGGTACAACAATGCACATTTAACGCACTGCCCTCTGCTATGCGATTTGATACTACTGGCAGCAGGTACATGATTTGATTCTAATGGCATCATGTACACTATTTCGGTATACTGGCACGTTCATTATTTGAGTATACTCACAGGATGTATGTGATTGATCCTCCTGGCAGTACGTATGTGATTTTATTCTACTGACAGCAGGTAAGTTAATTGAGGTTACTCAGAGCAGGTAGTGATTTAAATATACTGACATCAGGCGTGTGATTAATTTTACTGGCGGCACGTATGTGATTTGATACTATTGACAGCAGGTAGTGATTTGAGGCTCTGACATCACTTATTTTATATTTTTATTATTTGATTGTTTCCCTTCTACGTGACTTTACCGAAAGAACCAAGAATATCAGTTGTGTGATTGATCCTCCTGGCAACACGTATGTGATTTGAGCACCGTTTGGCACGAGCCCAACTTTGCAACATCGCGTCTCGAGTTCTTCTCTCACGTTTCCCCAATTGGACACACCGAGGTAATTTAAAACTCCACAATTGACCAGCAACCTTCCCCCCGCCAAGTCCTTTCACAATTTTCCTACAAAACGAGTCTCTTGCGCCGTCTCTGTTTCGCCCTTGCTCCCTGGGCAATGTTGTTCCTCCTCTCGCGCCATCTCTCGGCGTCTTTCCAAGGAAACCTCCCTCCCTCCCCTCCCTCCCCTCCCTCCCTCCCTCCCTCCCTCCCTCCCTCCCCCCCTCCCTCCCTCCCTCCTTCCCTCCCTCCCTCCCTCCCTCCCTCCCCTCCCTCCCTCCCTCCCTCCCCTCCTTCCCCTCCCTCCTTCCCTCCCTCCCTCCCCTCCCCTCCCTCCCTCCCTCCCCTCCCTCCACGCCTCTCAGCCTTTCACGCACCTCCTTTTCACAGTCACGCGCCCCTTCAACAGCGCTTTGAGCAGCTCTGGCTCGCCTCATACATCTCATTGCCTTCATCCGATTCCTCCTCCACTAGCTGGCCCCAGCTTTACATCACACCCCAGTTGCGTGTTGTGCTTGCCCCCCCCCCGTCCCCTCGAACCAATGCGTTCCTAGTTCAGCGGACGTTGAGTTTCGCTCCGACATTATCGTCGCAGCCGTCTTCATTCAGCACACGCCGCCTTGCTGCGCAGCCGCACGAGAAAGCCTTTGGCGACCGATATTATGGATGACAGAGGTTTTTCTTTTGTTTTGAGTTAGATCGCGGAAATGAAAATGTTTCGTTCACCCGCCACCACTCGGCACAGCCAATTAGGAAGGATTGTCACGTAAACGACAGGTGCCTGATATGTTCAGAGTGATGGCATGACCTTTACTCGTCGATTTAAGACCCAAAACAAGAAGACTGCTTCACAGTTCTGGCTCATTGCTGATGAAGCCGGTTGTTGAAATCACCAGCGAAAAGTCACGATCCTCGAATTGTAAATATTGTGGTGGGTTTACTCTCCAACACACAACCCGTGTGGTGCTGAAGTAGTAACCAATTGGCACGTTGTGTTAACGTGACAAACCTCACCAATTGGTTGTGTTCGGTGGTGGCGGGTTAACGGCACGTTAATATTTACGCGATCTAATCCTTAAAAAAGACCCTTTGCAGGGTGCTTCAAAAAAGATGTTGACACTTTGGAGAATTTGCAGCAACACCACCACGTGACATGTTCTGCTGCCTCCGGGCTCTGGAGACGACCTGGAGAAGATCCCAGGCCACGTGTTGACAACGATGGCGAACACGTGGAGACTCTTTGACTTTTTGAAGCTATTAACAGTGCATTTGTTATCACGTTACAGTGTAGTATTGTCCGTTCATTTTCCCCATTAAAAACGATAGTCCCGTAAAAAAATGTTAACACTTTTTTGAAGCACGCTGTATCATGAAAAGCCTACGTTGTCAGTGATGTGTTCGTTGTTCCGGACCGCGTCCCAAGTGAAGGGATCGATGTCACCTCACATAGCCCCCCCCCTCTACTCACCCGCCCGCTCTGTTTGCTGTTTTGTGCCCACAGGCGGCTACCGGGGGAGGTCCACGCGCTGTCCGCGAACGACGAGGTACAGCGCGGTACCGCGGGTTGTTCTGCATGATGTCTGACGTTTCGTTCCAGGGGTCTGGGAGCTTCCATCGGAAGGCAATTCAATTCAGTTCCCGAACGTATGCACGTTGATGTACGTACGTGTGCTGAACTTCTTTCGCACCAGACGTAGCCAACCGTGCTGATCGGAGATGCGGGGGAGGACAACAAGCTGAACACAAAAATAAGTTCTAACTAAATTACCTTTCAATCTAGGATTAAAAGTGCGTAGCTCCAGTGACTTCCTAATATCGGAAGGAAGTGCATTCCAGACGGCCGCAGAAGCGCACCTGAATAGCGATGCGGTAACCGCTGTCTTTGCTCGATGGCTAGCAGCCAGGAGTCGCTGCGCGGATGACCGGGGCTCGCGTGGTGGTTTACGCTTCCCAGTGCGTGGAACGAAACCTCGGGAAAGCGTGCCGATGCGTTCTCGGGTTGTACCACGGGTTGTTTTGCATGATGTCTGACGTTTCGCTTCCAGCGCTGGGAGCTTCTTCAGGAACCTCTGAATCAGTGCCCAGAGAAGCTCCCAGCAATGTCGGACATCGTCGCGAGCAACCCGTAAACACGACGAGAGCAGAGACCTCCGCAGTGGTGTGAAGCGCTGCCTGCTGCCTCGCCCCTTCGCCTTTGCCAGCAGCGGCCGTGCAGACGATGGCCGTGCTGCTGGAACTGGAGATCACGGTCATCAATGGCACCATCAGCGACCAGGACATCCTGGACGTGCTGCGCAACGTCCAAACGATCTTCATCAACGGCAGCGCCATCAACATCACCGACCCCGAGATCATAAGTGGTGGGGTTCACCTTCGCGCACGCGACCTGGCCGCCACCTTGGTCCCGCTCTCCCTGTGCACCCATGCGTGCGCCCTCCTGCACAGGGGTTCTGCTGCAGCGTCCACACGCAACCCGATTCAGGCCCTTCCCGTGCCGTGCCCTTCTTGGAGGCGAGGGTTGGCGTGGATCGCCGCACAAAAGTTGAGAAACTCCCTTCCTTGAGAGCGTTGAGGAGATGTGCCGTACCCTGCCTGGTTCGCCGGGAGAAAGCGGTACAGCAAGTTTTGACTAATCGCCACCTTTTTCAGTCTGTACGGGGATTGAGTGTTGGTTCAAAACATCTTAAAACCAAACCCCAATGTTGCAGCACGAGTCCTTTGGCTCGGTGAGGCTCTCCTAGTAAAATAAGTTATTTTTTACACATATGTTTTTTTTTTATATATACAATGCCTGGTATAGCCCCGACAAAATAGCATGTCCACACGACCAGCATGCAACTGGTGGAACCCGGAATTCAGCCGATGCCATCGCCTTTCCGTTGACCTCCCCGGAGAGGGATAGAGCAGTCACTGCTCACGCGATGAACAAAGTCACCTCGAGGTGCACACCAAGCTTCTTCCTGGAATGAAGCAGAGTTAGTGCGGACGTCGGGGTGTGTGACGGTCATCTCGTCGGCGTCGCGGTGACGAGATGTTAAATCCCTCGCCCGGTATACAGGAAGTCGTGGGTTCCATCCCGATCCTCACGGCTGTATATTTGGAGTTTGCATGTTCTCCCTGTGGTCGCGTGGATTTTTCTCCGGGTCCTCCGGTTTTTTCCCTCCGCATTTTTAAACGTGCGTTCAGAGTATTTGGCGGCTGTATATTTCCACGTGACAAGCCACTTCGTTGAGCCATCATCTGTGGCCACGTCGCTTCTGAAAAAGAGCTATAGAGCTCAGTGGGGGCCTTACCCAACGTGCTTCTGTGGCCCGGTCACCCGTCTGTTGGGCCGTTTGCTCCCACAGTCTCTTGCCTCTCCAATGCCGTAAATCAAGGGGTGCCCGTGTCTCCCTCACGCTCCCTCCTGTCCCCTATTCTGCACGGCTCAGAGTGTGTCCCCCAAGGCAACGAGACGCAGTGTCGGTGCGGAGCGGGGCTGCTGTGGAACACCTCCACCTGCCAGGCGCTGGGGCCCTGCTCCTCGGACCCCTGGGGACCCCCGCAGGGGTGCAGCTGCGTCCGGGGGACACCCCCGGACCCCTTCCAGTGCAGCGCGCCTCCCCCTCCAAGCACGCCGACAACCACGCCCAACGTCACTACGGCCGCCAACCTAACCAGCACAGCACTCACAACGTTAACAACCACAACACCACCACCAACAACAACGCCAACAACAACAACCACACCAACAGCAAACACGCCCAACGTCACTACCACGCTCAACGTCACAACCACACTCAACGTCGCAAACACATCGAACACACCCATCACCAATACCAAGCCTGAGACCAAACCCAGCTCCACGGCTGCAAAACCAAGCGGCACGACAGGTGAGTGAACCAATGCGTCTGTCGCACGCGCGACCCATCGTGCCTCCTCGTTTCATCACAAACGCAGTGGGTGGCATTTGGAAACATGCTCAGCAGGAGAGCGAGCGAGCGGTTCCACGGCCAGAAGGTCAGGATTCGCATCCTGGTTGGGGAGTTAACTCGGACCATGATCCCTCCCGGGTCGATAAAATAAGTACCGCTTCGTGGGGAAGTCAACAGTGGTTGATCGATGAATAGAACAAGTCCCCTACCATAGGAATGTGGAATGTCCACCGCGAGCTCGGGACTGTGCACACGCGATGAGCATCGTCAACTCGATGCTCATTCGAGCAGGAAATCTCTTTTATTAAGCAACAAATGCAACACACCAGCCCAAACCATACATTGTAGCAAAACCAGAGTCTGAACAGGTCGTCGGGCACATCCGGTACACCGCATCCAGTATACCACCTCTCATCATGTCATCGCCCAGTGCGGCCCCTACATGCGGAATTGTGCCGATGCCTGAATCTTTTGATGTACGGGAAGTCCTCGGTTAACGTGTGGCGATGTTCACACTACAACGCGGTTCTTCCATTCGGGAACACTTTTTCCACAGCGTGGAACACGCACCATTATAACACGAAATGCAGACACCATTATAATGCGTAATGTGCAATGTTATAACGCGTAACGTGCATTCCGCTATAACGCGGAACGTGCATTCCGTTATAACGCAGTTTCGAAGCAGTCGACGACCAACTACTTTCTGGAGCTGCGCGGATGAGTGATAGAGTACGCGGAGTGATACAGCAGTGCAGTAGTGCTTCGTGTCTCGCCAAACTTAATAATTATTACATTCATTGTGGGGAAACTGTTTTCGCCGAACGCGTTTCTCGCTGAACGCGGCACTGTCTAGGAACGCAATCTGCCGCGTTAAACGAGGACTCGCCGCATTCACAGGGTCGCGCGTGAACAGAATGCCCAGTGCGGAGTGAGTACGGCAGTTGCGATGATTAAACGCAAACTTGGTGCGGTAGATGCGCGTCTTACCCGTGGCCGAGTTGGGGCGCGAAACTTTGCGGAACCTGACTGCGATCTACTCGGCGACCACCGCTCGTGGGGCTCTCACCGTGCGTGCATGGCCCTGGCGCGGCCCTACGCTACCGCTGTAGAGGAGTGGTGGTACGGCGGTTAGCACGCCACTGCTACAAACGCGGTGACCCCGAGGTCGATTTCCGATCAAGGCCACCAACACCGGTGACGATTATATGAACCTGACCTAGGCCTCCCCGAGGTCGACTCACCCTCAAATGAGTACCTGGTGTGGTGTATAAACATCGCCACTGGGGAGACAAAAGCGGCTGGGCGTGGTGTTGGTCACCGACCCCCTCGTGTGCTGTGCCGGCCTTCATAGGTGCTACTCGCGAACAGCACTTGCCCCCAACGGTATGTTAAGGCTACGCGGGGGACCTTTGCCTTTGTGTGCGTGCCGTCCTGCCGTGCGTCTGCGTTTACCCTGCGCTCAGTTGTGAGCAGACACAGCATCACGGTCCGGACGACCAAGGTTTTCGACGGACTGTACGAAGATAAGATCAGCAGCAAGTACCTGGACATGGAGACTCTTTTCTTGACAGCGGTAGGCACACCACCGCGCGCCCATCGCGACCCCTGGCGTCAGCGGTAAGCCGGCCACGTGGCTCAGCGGCGGAGAGCGAGCAGCTCACCAACCGCGAGGGTTGCGTGCTCCATCCCCTGGTTGGGGAGTTCAATCCACAGCTATCAACCCATAAGGTTTACCAGTGTTTTTGCTCAGGGAAATTGAGTTTTCAGGTCCATATGGCGTACAGCCGTTTCAATACGGGCAAATATATATATACAATTTGTGTCTGTGTGTGCTTCTCCCTTGTGATAGGACTTTGTAGGATAAACGTTGAGATTTATAAGGGCACGGGGTGGCCAATAAGGTCTAAATTAGTCTGTAATAAGGTAGGTCACGGACAAGGGGTTGACAGGTATGTGAACTCGGCCTATTATCTGTCTGTGGGTCGATAAAGGAAGTAGTGTACCGCTTTGTGGGGAAGTCAACAGCAGGTTGTCTTATGGGAGAGACTCCAGCCTGCCACAGCAACGATGCATTTCCATCGCTGGCTCAGTGCTGTGAACAGCAGCTGAGCACCTCCTCGATGATTACGATGTTGTTGTTTGCGCGATGATGATTATGATGTTGTTGACATCAACAACATCATAATCATCGCGCAAACAAATACGCACAAAGATCCCCCCCGACCCGACAGCCTTTTAAACTATTGTGGAAAATGCTGTGAGGAGTCACCTATTAAGGCAAGCACGTCACACACGGGGCTGGTGTAACTCGCACCACACGGATGTTCACACACTCAAGTGTTGATTTTTGCAAACCAGCTGAGGCTAAGTCAACCTAGGGGAGGCCCAGAACCGGTTCAGACTTTACTCGCCATTGGGAACTCAAACCCAGGCTGACGCAACCTCCGCACCACCGCTCCACTGCGCGAGGCGTTATCTCTCTTCGACAGCGGCGTAAACGCACCGCATCAATCCCGGCGGAGTGGCGTTTCACAATAAAGTCAGTGGCTCTTGCACCTCGTTATGAATCCGGCGATCCGAGTTCAATTCCCGGCGACAGCTATCGCATCGGTGACGAGTGACATCTACTGGACATCTGTGAAAAAGAGCTTTATAGCTCATCAGATTCCTCCGCTATAAATATTCTGATTCTGAACGGGTCCTGGCCGGTCACCCCTTCACGCCACCGGCTCTGCCGCAGCAATGGTCAAGCAACGCACAAGACTGACACATTACCGGCTGTCAATCAGCCAGCAGCGGATTGACAAAGGGGCGTGATTGATGTCACCCTGATGCTCCCCTCCTCTCTGCATTCCTTCAGCTCAACGAATGCTACCAGCGCCTTGGAGAGCGCTTCATGAAGGTGATCATCCTGGGTTTCAGGTGAGAGAGGTGACCTCGACACGCAACGCTTAGACGGCTGGAAGTGCCCTGGCTGCCGACGGCACGCAGAGAAGTTGGGGGGGGGGGGGGTCGGGAGTGCTGACGGTTGGAGGAAATAAGCAAACTAATTATTTATAATATCTATTTATTTACTTTACTAGGTAAGGCCCACTGAGTTATGTAGCTCTTTTTCAGAAGCGACCTGGCCACAAATGAGAGTTCAATGAAGTGGCTTACGTGCAAATGTATCGCAGCCTTTCGACTCTAAACGCGTGACGTTGTTTCTACACGTGGGGGGAACACCCCGAGGGCTCGGAGAAAAACCCACGCGACCACGGGGAGAGAAACGTGCAAACTGCAAATACACAGCAGCAGGCATCAGGGTTGGGATCGAACTCACGACCTTCTGTATATCAGGTGAGGTAGTTAACATCTCTTAGCCACCGTGGCTCCCCGACAATGCCGGCTCTATAATTAATCAGTCAAACGTCGCCATTCTCCCGAGGGTCTTGGGGAATGTTGCGCCCTGGCCGTGGGCGGCAGTGTCAAATTCTGTCCTGGCTTATACTCCATACATCACAAGCAGTACATTTACATCTTTGGTAAACAAAACTAAAACAACAATACGGGTCTACAAGTTACACAATCTCTGTTAGTGCATTGGATGCAGTAGTCCCTGCTGCTGCACTTGACCCAAAAGTCTGCGAAGGCTATTCGGGGGAACTTTGTATTTTGTGTCTTTGTGTTGGGGGTAGGGGAGTCCCTGTGGGATTGGCATATGTGTTGCACTGACCTTCCCCCCACCCGCAGGAATGGGAGCCTGATCGCCGATTACCAGGTCATAGGTTACAATCTCTCCACTGAGGACATCATCAACATGACTGAAGACATCAACACATTTCTGAACAAATACGGCATCCAAATGGAAAATTCAAGCCGATTGGTTATTCACTCGGAAGGTTCGTAAACCCCGGTTAAACGCACAGCTATAGGGATGTGCGACCGAATTTTGGATTAATCTGAAAAATTCGGATACAGGAACTCGTCACGAAGTTTTGGACGATCCAAATTTGTGTATGTCTCTGACCGATCCGGGAAGTGGAAGTGACATCATCATGGCGTGGAAATGATGGCGTGTTAAGAGTGAATGTTATCTCAAAATCCCAACACTATTCAAAATTGTCCTTTAGAAACCGTGCGTGTAAAATCCGAAACTCACGAGTGGGGCGGTCACAGTCAGCGTCAGAGGAACGTCCCCAAACCTTGGCCAGGGATCCACTCCGGCCAGGTCTGCCTGGCCTGGTAACCAGGGAAGCGTTTCCGAAATCGGCACCACAACCACGACGCATCACAAACATCTGCTGCTCGTAGGGACTTGCACTTTTGAAAACCAGCCAGAGGTCAAAGGGTCACTCGAAATTTAGAGATTCAAACGAGCGTGCAAATGTTTTATTTTTTAAATACGCGAACGCATTTCACCCCGACGGCTGTCCATTGCTTTCTGGACTGCTAGTTCAGTCATCAAACACTTCCGAAGACAAACGCATGTTGGAAAGTGTTACATGATCCATGTGTATGCATGTTTTTTTTACTAACTTTTAAAATAAGTTGTTATCGACATTATGGTGGCTATGCAGGTGTGTAATCCAGTACTTGTGGAGGCGAGGGTTGGTGGATTACACAGACGGTCGTGAAACTCCTTCCCTTCCCATGGGCCTCGAGGTCGCCATGGCCTGGCTTATGGCCCGGGTACAACAGCAGTAAAAGCAAGCGGGTGAATCTCGATCTGCGCTGGGATTGAGTGTTAGCACCTCGCACACACGTGCGTTTTTCCCAAGTATAAACACTCATAAATTGAGCTTGTCAAATATCCAATACAGGACGCCAGAGCTTATGCAATTATTTTATTGGCAGAAACGGGTAAAACTTATTCTTATTTTTTCATACTTTGATACTGGCAAAAATATCCCATATTGTAGCTGCTCGCCCCGAGCTAGAAATGCTCTGATAGTGGCATTGTCCTTGTACTGTTCACCTTCTGGCGTTCTCTGGTCTGACACTGGTAGTGAGACTGGGCCCTCAAGGAGGCTGTCTCTGGTGTCGGCCAAGAAGTTTCAAAGACAATGCCTCATGTTATGAAGCATGTTTGTTTGCAGGTTCACCACGATTACGTGTGGTCAATGCAGTAAACTTGATTCCTTGAAAAAGGTCTGTATTTGGTGTTAGAACATCTTAACACCTCCTGTTTTATTTCCAGAAAGAGTCAAACCTATTTTTACGTATTTTTTTTTTATATATGTGTATATATAAATATATATAAATACGATTGTTTTGTGTCGGTTCTGGATGCCTTCCCGCCCGTCTGTGTTTGCCCGCACCACTGTACAAAATCTGTGCTCGTGACAAATGTCCACGAAATATGACACGATCTACATTGTTTTAATGTATATAGTATTATCATTACTCTTTCCTTTTGTTTGAGCAGGAGAACAGATTTCGTTCTACGGCAATCTGACAGAGAATGCAAACGTGACCCTTTTCTACAACAGCACCAGGGCGAATACAACGAATGTCACTTGGTTGAAGGACGGGCAGAGTGTTTCCAATTACTTCGATATCACTGTGAACACGAACCTAACCATCTGGAACTTCCAGATAAATTACAACGGTAAGACATTCAGATTCAACACCAGGCTCACAAAGCTCTTCAGAAGCGCTAAGGACACCAAACGCAGATGTGTCGGTCCGGTTTGGCCGTGACAATCCCAGTGGTTTTGATTTAAAGCTTTCGTGACTGCAGTAATTCATATTCTTAGTTTTTTCGGTAAAGTCACGTTGAAGAGAAACAACAAAATAACAAAATATATATAATTGTTTTATATATATATATTGTTTTATATATATTTTGTTATTTTGTTGTTTCTCTTCAACGTGACTTTACCGAAAAAACTAAGAATATGAATCCCAGTGGTGTTTAGAAAGCCTGGAAAATTACCCCCGGCTCAAATGTCTGGCCTCACGCTCGGGAAAAGGGCTCAGCTTGCCGAGGAATAGGCAAGGCTGGCAGAGGAGTAGGCAAGGTAGGCAGAGGAGTAGGCGGGGTAGGCAGAGGAGTAGGCAGGGTAGACAGAGGAGTAGGCGGGGTAGGCAGAGGAGTAGGCGGGGTAGGCAGAGGAGTAGGCGGGGTAGGCAGAGGAGTGGGCAGGGTAGGCAGAGGAGTGGGCAGGGTAGGCAGAGGAGTAGGCAGGGTAGGCAGAGGAGTAGGCAGGGTAGGCAGAGGAGTGGACGGGGTAGGCAGAGGAGTAGGTAGGGTAGGCAGAGGAGTAGGCGGGGTAGGCAGAGGAGTGGGCAGGGTAGGCAGAGGAGTAGGCGGGGTAGGCAGAGGAGTGGGCGTGGTAGGCAGAGGAGTAGGCAGGGTAGGCAGAGGAGTAGGTAGGGTAGGCAGAGCAGTAGGCGGGGTAGGCAGAGGAGTAGGCTGGGTAGGCAGAGGAGTGGGCGGGGTAGGCAGAGGAGTGGGCAGGGTAGGCAGAGGAGTGGGCAGGGTAGGCAGAGGAGTGGGCAGGGTAGGCAGAGGAGTAGGCGGGGTAGGCAGAGGAGTGGACGGGGTAGGCAGAGGAGGAATGTTTGCAACGCGTGATGATGAGGAGGCTGCAGGCGTGAGCTGACGAGCGTCTCTCCGTGCAGGGACCTACACGTGCCAGGTCCAAGTGAGCTCGTTCGCCGTGCTCGAGAGCAGCGTGGTGTTGGTACTGATGCCAACCATCAACCAGGAATTGGGGTCCCCGCCTTCCCTGTCGGCGAACCAAGGCGATCCAGTCAACGTGACCTGCTGCCTGCAGCAGCAGATGGCGAACTTGACAATAACGTGGGGAGTCAACGACAATGTCACGAACTACCGTGAGTGGCCCACGTGGGCAGTGGTGAGAGCGAGAGGCAACGGTCGAGAGCTAGTTTGATGTATTCATTTGAAAAAAAAAACACTCCTCAATTAATTACCGAGTTCCCATGACATAGAATCATAGAAATAGGCAACGTTGGGCCCTTCTTCAGCTCTCTGGTTGCTCTGCGTGCTGCGAATGAGAAACATTTCTCGACATGTCGCCGACTGTAGTTTTCTTCGACGGACGCGCTCAGTTCTAGTTTGCTACGTGTGTGCCCTTTCACACCACTGCGACGCAGCAGCAGCAGCAGCAGCACCAAACACCACTTTAGCTTGGCGAGGTCTCCCAGCACGCACGCGAAAAGATTCCCCAGTCTGGCCTGAACAAACATCTCGAAGATCCCCACACATCATCTTTAACAGACTGTTGGGGCAAGTGCTGTTAGCGAGTAGCACCTATGAAGGCCGGCACGGCACACGAGGGGACGGGTGTCCAGCATCACGCCCGGACGTTTTTGTCTCTCCAATGCTGATGTTTACCCACCACACCAGGTACTCACTTGAGTCTCAGTCGACCTAGGGGAGGCCAATAACCGGTTCAGTACACACGCACGCACAACAGCAACAACCGCCATTCGGCACGATGTGTCCATGACGTCACCACGGTGCTGGTGCCAGGCTATGTGTACACTAAGGCCACTTGAAGTGTCGAAGCCTCATTGTGCAGGTCCTGGGAGAGACCCAGGTGCCATGGGTTGACCGACTGAGATGACTGGCAGATGCATCACCTGTGCCCCCTACTGTTAACTTGCTGTGTTTTAGCTGGCCCGCCCTCTGCGAGTGGGGCACTGATTTGATTAATGTGGCCAGATTTCTCCTCCTGCAGGTCCCCCCAATAGCAACGCAACGTTGCACGCAAATTTCGTTAGTATTGGATCATCGTAACGAGAGAGTTAACGCGTCCGCTCCCACTCCCCGTCCCCCTACCTCCTCCACCCCCCTGCCCGGTACAGGAAGACAGGGCTCATGCCAAGGTTCTGCTTCGGTGAATTCCGTCGCGTGTGATTGCGGTGATTGATATTCGCTTGCAACTTTTTGTTGAGAATCCCTGCTGCGTTGTGTTTGTCCTGCAGTAACGGATTCGAGTGGATGTTCTTATTTCCTGCAAGTGTGCGAAAAAAACATTTTCAAGTGTTCCACAAACGTTAGCAGCAAGGAAATCAAGGTGGCCTGCATTGGACCAGGTACGGCGCGCAAATGCATACGGCACTGCCACTTACTGAGCCACACACAGTAGAGATGACTGATGGTAAAATGTAAAAGCACAGCCCTACAATTACCTGGACGTGTGACTGCTGGGAGCTCCAGAAGGCATCTGGACGACTCTTGTATGTTGACCAGACATCTTGTAAGGGGTGGAAGCACCTACACTTTGTATGTGTGTATGCTAAACTTCTTTCGCACCGTACGGAACCAACTGTGCTAGTCGGAGGTGCGGGGGAAGGACAACAAACTATACACAAAAAGCAGTTTTCAAGTCTAGATTTAAAAGCGCATAGCTCCAGTGGCTTCGAATATTGTCTTGAGGAAACGTGACCACCACCCCCCCGCCCGCCCACACCCACAGAGATACCCCCCCCCCCGCGCTTTATAATCATTAAATAATTAATTCGCCCACGTAAAGATAGAGCGGCAGCCCTGAAATTACCTGTGCACTTCGCTGCTGGCAGAAGGGCCCCTCTAGAGGGCATTTGGCCGCCCAACTCCTGCACGCTGGCCAGCTGTCCTGGAAGAGGTGGGAGTCCCCACACTGCGCCCCGCCGTGTGGGCCTGGTGGCGTGGGCCCATTCACGCTGCTGTGTGGACACGGGCAGTGGAGGGAGGTGACGGGGTTGCGAGGGATGGATTTAAGAATCTTGCTCCATTATTGAAACTGCCGCGTCGGGATGTGGAATCGAATCGGCGACCTCTGGATCGCGAGTCCAGTGCGTGCTGCCCGTGACACCGCGCACAAACATCCAAGCAGCCCTGCAAGGGACAGCGGGGTTTCCTTTTTTAAAATGTAGTTATTTATTTTTAACGAAAAGCATAACCAGCATGATGAAGTATGGTCAAATAATGCTTCATAACCCCCACGGCGTGAGGAGGCCCTCTCCTGGCAGTGGATTGAAAAAAAGAGTGGCTGTACACGCACAAAAATGTGACGCTTGACAATCACGATGCTTGCCTTGCCCTTTGCGCCGTGTGATTTCAGGTGACCTTTCTTGCCAAAAAAATACAATAGGCGACCGGGAATGGCCGATAACGGCGGCAGGAAAAACAGCGTACCACAACTGTTCACTCAATTACACCGGATTTATAAGCCGGGTTTGCAAAACGAGTGGTGAATGGGCCGATGAAAACAACAACTGCATATCGACTGAACTCAAAAATCTCATGGGCAAGGCGCAGGTGAGAAATGGCTCAAAGGAGATTGAGGGGGAGGAGGATGTGGGGGGTGGGGGCTTGGTGTTCTGTAAAGAGGTGGGGGAGGGGGGGTAGTTCTGTAAAGAGGTGGGGGAGGGGGGGTAGTTCTGTAAAGAGGTGGGGGAGGGGGGGTAGTTCTGTAAAGAGGTGGGGGAGGGGGAGTAGTTCTCTAAGGAGGTGAGGGAGGGGGGTAGTTCTCTAAGGAGGTGAGGGAGGGGGGGTAGTTCTGTAAAGAGGTGGGGGGGGTAGTTCTGTAAGGAGGTGGGGGGGGTAGTTCTGTAAGGAGGTGGGGGGGGTAGTTCTTTAAGGAGGTGGGGGAGGGGGGGTAGTTCTGTAAGGAGGTGGGGGAGGGGGGGTAGTTATGTAAGGAGGTGGGGGGGGTAGTTCTGTAAGGAGGTGGGGGGGGGTAGTTCTGTAAGGAGGTGGGGGAGGGGGGGTAGTTCTGTAAGGAGGTGGGGGAGGGGGGTAGTTCTCTAAGGAGGTGGACTGAGTGAGACTTTTGTTCGAAATCGTCACAGGGGAAGGTGGAACTCAGACGGCGGCTACGCTCAGAGCCGACCCCCCAGGGTACACGGCGAATCGGGGCGACCTCCCTGGGCCCCGCACTTTGGGGGGGGGGGGGCACCTCGACGCCACGGTAGTGTCAGACGTAATACTTCCCGCAGAGTTTGAAGGCGTCGGGGTGCCCACACTGTCGTGACTTGCTCCGGGACCCACAAAACTCTGCGGTCGGCCCTGGTTACGCTGGACGTGGCCTGTAATGTATGCACGTACGCTGAACTTCTTTCGCACCGTACGTAGCCAACCGCGAGGATCAAAAGCAGAAGTCTCGTGGTCTGCGGTGTGGCGAGCGAACACAGTTGCGGACGGGACGGAGTGAGTGACGTTCTGTGCGAGAGTGATCGTGGTAATGTTGCGTGTCGATGCGTTCTGGACGGTGTCTCTCGCACTAGATGGCATTTGACCACGAAAAGCTGGCCTGGAAAGTTCCGGATCTGATCCTGGCACTGTCCGAATACCAGCCTAACCAGATACCCGCCAACGAAGTGGAGAGTGTCAGCTTAGTAATTAAGCTCTTGGCCGATGCCACTTCCAAAAGTAAGATCCCTATCAACAAAACCGTGGCAGAGGTGAGAGACGCTTTACTTACAATGCGCACCAACAGAGAGGGCGGCATAATACAGGTTTTTTTGTGTTTAGATCGCGTAAATATAAATGTGTGTCGTTGAAACCCGCCGCCACCCGACACAGCCAACGAGTAAGGGTTGTCAGGTAAACAGAACGTGACAATTCGTCACGTTTTGTTTGTGTTAGAGAGAAAATCCACAAAATGTACACGTTTATATATTTACGAAATTTAACCCAACCCCCTTTCCCCCCCCCGTATGATGGATATTGGTGGCGAAAGCGTACTACGTGTTGAAGAGGCTGTAGCCGGAGCCGGAGCCCGAGCGCAGCGTCGTCTGTGCTCGGGCTCCTCGACTGCGTTGTCTGCTTCTCCTTCCCCAGGGCACGCACCCTGGGGAATATCTTATAGATGCTATGTGTCGGAGGTGACCGAATGGGTCCTGAGCTGACAAGTCTCAGAACCCGGTGCAATTCATGACGCACCGCCTCTGGTTAAACCGGGAGGTCAAGTGTAGACAGTTGATCGACCCATCGCCAATTACTGCACACACATAAAACACGTTTATACATTTGACTCTGCACTGGATTTGGCAAAAAAAAAGAGAGAAAGCTATCTTTGGACTTGAAGTGACAAATGTGACCCTCTCTCAGTGGTGGAGTGGGTGGGGAAGCACTGCCCAAATGTTGTGTGGCCTAGAGGCCACTAGAACGGATCTCAGAGGTAGCTGTCCAATATCCACTTCCGTGGGCCGCTCTATTACATGGAGCGTTGCACGGCTGTCCGCAGGAAGATGGGTATTCTGGCAATGTCTGCTGACATGTTTCTGACACAATCCCGAGAGCACGATTGGGATAACATTTGACAAAAAATATCTATTTTTGTAATTTACCCGGTTGTTCTTGTCCGTACCTTTCAGAATTTTTTCACTTCTGTGAGCAACGTGCTCAATCCAAATTTGGCAGATTCGTGGGATAAACTTAAGTACAAAGATACCAACAGCACCTCGCTGCTGAAGAGTGTCGAGACATTTGTGGAGGCAATCAGCGGTGAGTCAGCACCAGCGGCACAACGGCAGCCACAGCGGCGGGGATGGCAAGGAGTGAAATGGGGCCCGCTGTGTCATCTCTCTCTCTTCGTAGCCCACGGCACAGGAACCTTCCTGCCCATAGCCGCGATGCAGTTGTACTCTGCGTACCCGATAACGGTGCTACTGCCGCAGATAATAATATCGTCCAAAACTATTTTATTAATTTTACCAGGTAAGGCACACTGAGCTGTGTAGCTCTTTTTGAGAAGCGACCTGGCAATCACAAATGATAGCTCAACGAAGTGGCTCATCATATGTAAACGTATAGCAGCAATCGAATACTCTGAACGCGTGACGTTGATTCTAAATGTGGAGGGGAAAACCGGAGGACCATGGGGAGAGAGACACGCAAACTCCAAATATCTAGGCGTCAGGGTCTGGATCGGACCCACGACCTCCTGTATACCTGGCGAGGCAGTTAACATCTCCCCACCGTGGCGCCATATGTATCCAGAAGCGTGACTTGATGTGTTATTTTACATAACGCCACACATGGAAATTGCAGCTCGCAATGCTGTGCAATTAGTAAAGGACAGTTTCCGATTGGAGGCGTGGGAGAACATACGCGAGGCGGATTGCAGCCAGACCGCCGCTGCCAACAAGTACCCCAAGCTCTCTGTGTCCTGCCATCGGGGGGCTGATGTTTGCTATGTGCTGTACAGTATAACCGCAAATTTGATTGATTTTAGGTTAATTTTCGAATTTGGCAAATTTGGATCGTGACATCGGCACACAATGGCCTCCTCTTGCAAATGCTGCCACGGGATCTTTAACGTCCACTGTGAAACAGAAGACGCGTTGTGCTATTACGGTTGGTACATCAGCACCAACAGCCCTGCAATTCGCATTTTAAATGCGTAATTGAATGACCATATCAACCGGAATGCGCTCAATCACGTTACGATCTCAGAAGCTAAGCAGGTATGAGCCTATATAGTGCTGGGATGGGTGACCACAATGTACGCACTAGGTGGCTGTGGGGCTGGATATCGACAGCAAAATGCAGTGCAGCAGAATCCATTGTTGTGCTGTGCGTAGATACATCCACAGCTCAGCTCCCGCCTTCACCACCCCGCGCCGAGCCAGCGTCGAACACGGTCAGGTAACCCCCCACTCATCCGCGTGGCGTCGGGAAGCCCTCATCCAGCAGTGGATTGGCAAAACATCGGCACAGTACACGTACAGTGCGGTATAACTGCCCAGTACGCTGCTCAGCTGCTGCGAGTTGGACCGTCACATCGCAAGGCGATAAGAGCTGGCGATGGCTTGGGGCAGGCCTTCATCCAGCAGTGTATAAAGCAAGGCTGAAGAGGTTGAGAAAACAATGCATTGGCAATGTAAGTTTCCTACTTGTACAGGTTGGAGAGCTGCAATTTAACCGTGAACCCATCAACAGGTTTCACTTGTTGCCTTAACTTTTGGTGAACTCACGCATTGTTACAAACCGACCCTTCTTTCACCCCCCCCCACCACCCCACCGTAGATGTGGGTGAGGATGATAATTTCAATATCAACAAATCTAACGTGGTCGTGAAAGGAACGCGGTACATCTCGAGAAACTCGGTCACTGAGTACAGCAAGGAGTTCAATAAGTCCCACGTGACCATCCCCTTACATGTGGTGCAAGCATTGTTCGTACAGGGCAACTTGACTATCACAAGCATTCAATTCAGGTGTGTTGTCTTATATTACTTCTACTGGATGGTGTGGTGGTGATGGCAGGTGTTCACTAAACCAAGAACGAACCAGGCTGAACTCTACTGAGCTGGTCATGGGCATGGTTCAAGCAGCAACCATCATGCGATATCCACATTTGAAATCCGGCCGATGGATAAATGAGACGATGAGCGTTTGTCGCTCTTACCTCCTAAAAATGTACGCGAAGGACGGTAGTTTTAGATGCGTTTCATTCGCATGTCAGAGAACATTTTCATTTCCATCTATGGGGCAGCTGTGTCTTCCGCAGTGATGACGATAAGAGGTGCAGATATTATCATTATGAATCGTGCACGTTAATCGATGATGGTGGAAAGCGATAGGGTGCTCTTAAGGTGGGCAGTAATTTCTAACGATAATTATAAGTATTGTATAGTGTATGATGACGAAAGGTGAGAATTATTGGATAGTGTATGAGAAATAGTGTGCGTTCTTTTTGTAATTTTGATGATGACGATTGTTGCCATTGCAGCACCCTGTCAGAACTTCTGCCAAATTACGGCAGCAGAAGCAACAGCAGCAGCAGTTTCAAGGTGGGGAGCGATGTGGTCAGCACCGTCATCCGCAGCACCATGGCGCCCAAGAACATCTCAATTGAGATGGCTTTCAGGAACGTCACTGCGAAGAACCAAACAAGTTGCGTTTTCTGGAAATTTGAGGTCAGTCACGTTACACGTTAAACACCCCCCAACGTGGTATTTCTATATATGCAATACTTACACACACCGCTTACACACACACACACGCAATGCCTACACACGCGTAATACTCCAATTTGTAACGTGCACTATCTGTCATGGACATATTGGATCGTGACTCTAGGCACGCAGCCAAGCTCAGTGTCGCCCAAAAGCCAGACGGAAGAGATGCTGCGCCCTTACAGAAAGACGTGGGTCCTTTAAGTGTCTCCTCTTAAGAGTCGGGTCACATTGCTGCTTTTGCTGCTGTGAATGTGCAGCGAGCAGCGGCAGCAGCAGCAGCGGAAAGACGACGACGGCGCTGCTGCTGCTGGCCGCGTTGCACACGGCGGAGGCTGCCACGGAGAAACGACTCCCGGCAGAGGTTGCTCTGCAGTTGGAGAGGTCTCCCGTGAGCTCTAGCGCGGGGTGACAGTTGGAGAGGTCTCCTGTGAGCTCTAGCGCGGGGTGACAGTTGGAGAGGTCTCCCGTGAGCTCTAGCGCGGGGTGACAGTTGGAGAGGTCTCCCGTGAGCTCTAGCGCGGGGTGACAGTTGGAGAGGTCTCCTGTGAGCTCTAGCGCGGGGTGACAGTTGGAGAGGTCTCCCGTGAGCTCTAGCGCGGGGTGACAGTTGGAGAGGTCTCCCGTGAGCTCTAGCGCGGGGTGACAGTTGGAGAGGTCTCCCGTGAGCTCTAGCGCGGGGTGACAGTTGGAGAGGTCTCCCGTGAGCTCTAGCGCGGGGTGACAGTTGGAGAGGTCTCCCGTGAGCTCTAGCGCGGGGTGACAGTTGGAGAGGTCTCCCGTGAGCTCTAGCGCGGGGTGACAGTTGGAGAGGTCTCCCGTGAGCTCTAGCGCGGGGTGACAGAGAGTGGAGAGAAATAATTGGTGGACGACTCAAAGTCGAGGTGCGGTGCCACAGGCGGCAGGCGATCTTGTAGCTGACCCGGCCACCTCTAGGACCAATGAACACAATTGACACCAGAGGTTTCATTGTGTCTTGAGGGTAACAATAAAGAACACAAGGAGGGATGTTATGCATCAGTGCCAGTCCGTCATCATTACATTTAAACCTGCGATTGTGTCGCCTCTGCACCGTGTTGTTTTTCTGTTCCCATACAGTTGAACAACACCAGCGGCAACTGGTCAAATTATGGTTGCACCACCACCAAGTCCCCTGGCGAAGTGGTGATGTGTAGCTGCAACCACTTGACATCCTTCTCGGTGCTCATCTCTCCCGAGGCACCCGACGACATGATCCTCTCCACCATCACCTACGTGGGCGTGGGCATCTCCATAGGGGCGCTCGTGTGCGCCCTCGTTCTCGAGGCCGTGGCCTGGCGCTCTGTCAAGATGCACGAAAACTCGCGCCTGCGCCACATCATCCTCATCAACATCTGCGTGTCGCTGCTGTTCGCCGACGTGTGGTTCATCGTGGCCGCGTCCGACGCCAGCATCAGGTGCAACAACCTCTGCCTGGCCTCCACCTTCCTCATGCACCTCGGCTACCTCTCGGTCTTCTTCTGGATGCTGTGCGAGGGTCTCTTCCTCTTCTACCTCGTCGTCATCATCTTCAGCCGCGTCGCCATGAAGCATCTCAGGGCGGCCGCGTTCGCCGTGGGCTACGGGGCGCCAGCCATCATCGCGATCGTCACCATCGCCGTGACGAAGCCGCGCAACGAGTACACGCGGGAGAGAGTCTGCTGGCTCGACTGGGAGAAGAGCCGGGCTTTGCTGTCCTTCGTTGTACCCGCGTTGGTCATCGTCGGCTTCAACACCATCATCCTGGTGGTGGTGCTCACCAAGATCCTGCGCCGTCACAGCGTCAGCGCGGCCATCAGCGAGGGACCCTCGGTTCGCGTCAAGCAGCTGGCCAAGAGCATCGCCGTCATGATGCCCGTCCTCGGGGTCACGTGGGGACTCGGCATCTTCGCTTTCAGCAAAGATAACAGCAACAACCTCGCTCTACACTACCTGTTTGCCATCTTCAATTCCCTGCAGGTGCGAGCAACCCGCACACATTCACCCGGTGTTGTGAAAATTGTTTGAGTCTCAAGGACTGTAATATTGTTTTCAAACAGGTTTCCATAAATACAACCCAAACAATTCCACCGACACCAGAACACTGCGACAAAGCAATTGAAGCCCTGCTGACGTGCACATGGTATACTGCACGGTACAAACCAGAGGTGTATCTATTATATGTAACATTAATTATGGAGTTGGACAAAAATGCCAATTCCAGGACCTCCGAGGATATCCCTCGAGACTCGGTGAGATTTTGTTTGGGTGAAAAAATGTCACATCACGTTTATAAAGCGCGTCCCATTTGTTTGTTCTCGTTACGGCAGGGTCTCTTCATCTTCCTGTTCGACTGTCTGATGGACAAGGAGGTGAGTACCCACACTTAATTCACGTCCCCATACACCATCAATCGATAACGCCTCATTTGTTCTATTGCACATTCGTGATAAATACTTCTTCTCTAATTGCTTGCTTGCCCCGTCACTGGTTTTGGCAGCAAGCCCTCAGATTATCGTCATTGGTTCGGGTCGGACACGTGGTCTCTTGCTCGATAGGTTGTTTGCTCGCCTGTGCCAGCCTCTTAAATTTCATTCTTAATATGTGCGCTCGCGGGCAGTAACAATCATGCTCCATTCTTCAAAGAGTCTAGATTTGCCTCTCGTTTGCCCAAACAACTCCGAAATAGGCTTCTTGGACAATTATAACGAGCGAAGAGTAGTATAGCAAGATGGCTAAACCATCGTGAGAAAAAGTACAGGGGACCTCAGATCAGGTTCAAACCAAGTTGTCTAGTGGGCACTTTCTGCTCCAAATTCAAATAAACACGGTTAAAATTAGTAATTTAATAATTTAAAACAATACAAAAATATATAAGTGAATGTGTACAAAATAATGCCGCATACTCATTTGGTTGCATGTGCTGTGATCATGACATGGTATCGGCATCTTGTGAACTGTAAAGAAAGTTTCACATTTCACAAAGTCCATCGGCGGCACGGCTAGGTTTGGGGCACATTCCCATGTACAGCAACACGGATCAAGCACAGAGCACCGGACGTCTGCCTTGTCGGCTAATGCGAGACGCCGGCAGGTGTTCATCAAAGACAAAATGAAAAACGGTGACTATACTAGGACAGGTGATCGGCACCTTTGACCGGTCCCCACGCAAGTTCACAACGCCTACTCCGTCTGCCTCCATCCTCCCCCTCCTCACCCCCTCTGCTCGCTCGCAGGTGCGCAAGGCAATAAAGAAAATACTTGGCCTAGACCTGGCGAAACGTGTAAGTGTCGCCGTGTGCGCGTCAGTCGCAAGACGCAGTGCGAACAGCGGGCGCGTTTGTCTGCCTGCTGGGGATTCGGAGACAACTCCTGTGCTGACAACGGAAATGTCCTTGCCTTGACGTGCACGCGCGTGTGTGCGTGTGTGTCTGCATGTACGCGTGTGTGCACGTGTGTGTATCCACGATGTCACCTGCAGAAGGGCGCCAGCAGTCAGGGGACGCCCGTTTCGCCGTACAAATCTCGCTGTGAGTACCCACAATGCAGAGGCCGTGATACAAAGCACAGCCGTTGCAGGCGGTCTAGACACCACTCTCAGGCATTACTGACGAAAACTCCCCTACACCTCTAACAGCATAGGCTAAGCTTATTCATTTGAGTTTTTATCATCTTGGTGACCAAGGTACATTTTTCCAAAACCAGCCACCCTCGTCCCTTGAGTTCTCACCTAGTAAAAAACCCCATTAAAAACACACGAAGGCCAACGCCAAACACGAGCCCGAATCACCAAACCCCAACGCTAACCTCGTGACCCCTTGCCACCGACCGCCCGGTTCGCTTTTCTCGCTGCAGCCACGGCGTCGACGGACCCGCGCGTCACGGTGAAAGCGAGCCGCTCCGTGCGCGACCGTGTCAAAAAGACGATGCCCTCCCTGCCCGGCCGCAGCACCAGCAACTACGACTCTCTCATCACCGACTAGGGGCTCCACAAACCGTGCCTCCCTCCTCCTCACCTCCCCTGCGGAGTCAGCCCCTGGAAATCCTCTCCACCTACTTACATCATCACCATCATTATCGTAAAATTGTGGCGTTGCCGGTTGGGCTGCTTGTTGAACATTTATTCTGTCAATATTTCGCCACGCCCTACAGCAAGCACCCTATTCAATCCCTGAAGATGACCACAATTGCGAGCATCTACAGCTGAATGGAATGTGGCCTATTTATGAAATAAGTCGATGGTTTCACAGATGCACAAAAAGTTAATGCATCATCACCATCCCAACAGTTCATCCAGGTACTCCAACACCGTTGTATGTCGTGGACACATTTTTTTCTGCGTGACAGAATTCCTTACCGGTTAGCAGACCATACACAAGTCAACAGCTACTTTTTGATTCCACGAACGATTGATACATCTGAAGTGTCTGAAACGTACATTCAGATTCGTGGAACTGCTTATTTTTATTGGTTGTTTTTTAATCAATTACGGGTATTATAGCCACACAGATTCTCTGATTATTTAAGCAATAAAATATAAAACCGTTGTATATTAAACGTAGCAGTGGCGAGTTCAAACTTATGACGGGGAAACTTTTAACCGCTAGAATGTCAGCGAATCAAGACATTGCAAGGAATTGTGGGCATAGCTTGTTACAAAAAGCGAGAGACGGTAAGGAATGGGTGTATTACCACAATCAGTCAAGCTCTATCCACTGCTGGTTCATGACATCCCCAATCCATCGCCATATCTCGCGGTGTCTCACAATGCAAGCTGATCTCACCGCATTGGTCGTTCTCTGGGGTATTGTCCCCTTCCTTCAGCTGCCACCCTGTCGTTAGTCTCGACCACATCGGCATGACAACACAGAGTCAAGCAAAGGCTGTGGTGTATGGTAGTTCACATTTTTTTAGGAACTATTTTAAGAGGTGGTTATATTTTTTACGCACCAACATTAAACGCACTAAGAAATGTTTTGCTTGAGCACTTAAATAAATGAACTCAGGTTGTCAGAAATAAAACAAAACAAAGATCCCTCAAAGCCATAACAGATTGTTGGGGCAAGTGCTGCTAGCGAGTAGCACCTATGAAGGCCGACACGTCACACGAGGGGGTGGGTGGCCAGCGCCACGCCCGGCCGCCTTTGTCTCCCCAGTGGCGATGTTCACACCGCACCAGGTGCTCATTTAAGGGTGAGTCGACCGAAGAGAGGCCCAGGACTGGTTCGGAAATATCGTCGCTGGTGTTCGCCGTTCGCGGGAATCAAACTCGGGTAGCCAGGTTCGTAGAGCAGCGTGCTAACCACTGCACCACCGCTCCTGATTATGTCATAAACACACCGGTGCTCACCTGCGCACACGATTACTCAATAAGGTGGGCACCTCCTTATTGAGTAATCGTTCGCGTGACCAGCCAAATCCTGGTGAGGTTTCAACCTCTCCGAGTCTCACCAGCAGACCGTGGCCTGTTCAAGACACACGAATGGGCCCGCAGGGTGCGACTGGCAAGAACTCTCCGTGAACACGGCAGTTCCCTTACGGTGCGGTGGGATTGTGAATAGCTAAGGTCTGCTTTACCACCAAAAAATGTAAATGCGGTACTGTGACATTAAAAAACTAAAGTAAAATAAAACGTATGCTTTTAAAGTCCATCGTCAGCTGTGATCAATCCACTGCTGGTTGATGACATCCACAAATGTATCGACCAAATTTGTAGCCAAATTGTTTTGTGAGCAGCACTGCCCGTGCGTTTCCGTGGGATATCACTGAAGTGAATTATAAGCGATGTAGATTTATGTGAATTTCTCAATGACATTCGCTGGCCTACTTTCAACAACATAACATCACGTCCACAACGATTTTACATAACATCAACAATAATGACATATCTACATTAATAAAATAATTTTAATCTCATCAACAATATATCAACATGTCAACAATATAATATTAACATCAACACGTATGAATAATAGCGGCAGCTCTACAGTTATTACACCACAACTGAAACTACATTCTAACCACAACTTCATCACCGCAATCATAACACTCGCATTATGAGCACAATTAAAACCACATAACCACAATATTATAGGCACATTATAACCACAACTGATACCTCAAGCAGTCATAACCACAACGATATCTACCACATTGTAAGCATTATAACCACCACAAACATTCTGACCAGAGCCACGTTATGCACAGTCATATCATAACTGCCACAATATAACCACAACCGTAAGCACCACATCGTGCTGTACAATTATTGGTGGGGTCCCAACAATAATAGATTCATTCCTAGGGGAAAGGGTCAGCCGACTAAAGTTCCACACGAGATAGAATCAGTGTCCAGTGTCACACACAGAGCGTCTCTGTATTATGACGTCGCATTCATTTGCGCGCACACAAAGCGCTTGCCACTAATGAACCACAGCCCGCTGATCTCGTACAAGGAGCATAAACCACCATCACCACCACCATCATCACCACCATCATCACCACCACCATCATCACCACCACCATCACCACCACCATCATCACCATCACCACCATCACCACCATCACCACCACCATCACCACCATCATCATCACCACCACCATCATCATCATCACCACCACCATCACCATCATCGCCACCATCACCATCATCACCATCATCACCACCACCATCATCATCATCACCACCACCACCATCATCACCACCATCACCATCATCATCACCACCATCACCACCACCATCATCATCACCACCACCACCACCACCATCATCGCCACCATCACCACCACCACCATCATCACCATCATCACCACCACCACCATCACCACCATCATCACCATCACCACCACCACCATCATCACCACCACCACCACCACCATCATCATCACCACCACCATCACCACCACCATCACCACCATCACCACCACCATCATCATCATCACCACCACCACCATCATCACCACCATCACCATCATCATAACCACCATCACCACCACCATCATCATCACCACCACCACCATCATCGCCACCATCACCACAACCACCACCACCACCATCATCACCACCATCACCACCACCATCACCACCATCATCACCACCACCATCACCACCATCATCACCATCACCACCACCACCATCATCACCACCACCACCATCATCACCACCACCATCATCACCACCATCATCATCACCACCACCATCACCACCACCATCATCACCACCATCATCACCACCACCACCATCATCACCACCACCACCATCACCACCATCATCACCACCATCACCACCATCACCACAAACACCACCATCATCATCACCACCACCATCACCACCATCATCATCACCACCACCACCACCACCATCATCACCACCACCACCACCACCATCATCACCACCATCATCATCACCACCACCACACGAACTGCGGTGGTCATCCTCGCAGCAGCAGCAGCGGCAGCTGCGGCGGCTTCTGGCTGCTCGACATCGAACAAAGACGCCGGTCACCGCATCGCGCGGCGCTTTCAGATGCGCTCCTGTGGCCGTCTGGAACGCTCTTCCCACCGATATTAGGAAGCCGCTGGGAGCTATTTCACTTGAACTGAAAACTGACATCTAGATTGACAAACTCATTTCTTCATAACTGTTTGTTTGTGTTTAGTTTGTTGTCCTTCCCCCGCACCTCCGAATAGCGCGGTTGGCAACGTACGGTGTGAAAGAAGTTCAACATCGACGAGGCCCCGGTCATCGGTGCACCGAGTAACTCGCCTCCCGTCAAAGACATTCCGAAGGCCACGCGCCCCGGGGCAACGGTTCGTTTGAATCTCGCAATCCAATTCCAGCATCGACTCTATTTTGATTGTAAACACATTGTGGTTAATGTGGCAGGCCTTCTGTGGCCGCAGAGATCACGCGAGCTGCCGTGCCTACTATAATCACCCAGGAATGTCTGTCCTTAACGCTCGTGACGTCACACCACATCGACCAGCCCCCCTCATTAATATTCATGAGCAGGTGACGTCTTCCAAATGGACACCCCCCCTGCCCCTCCTCACTAATAATCATGAGCTGGTGACGTCACTCAATATGGAGTACTCCCCCCCCACTAATAATCATGAGCAAGTGACGTCTCTCCACATCGAACAACCCCCCTCATTAATAATCATTATAAGGTGACGTCCTCCAAATGGACCCTCCCCATTCATAATTAGCGGGTGACGTCACTCCACATTGAGGGGGGGGGGCGAGGCGCCTCCTCCCCCCTCCTCGGCGTCAACTTACTACCCCACGTCACGTGGTCTCCGCATTGCCGATCGAGCGTCGTTGCTGCGTCGCGCGCTGCGGAGCAAATCGCCGCGGACCCCTGGGCTGACGCGACCCGCCACGTGGCATCCGACATCAGCCCCCACCGCCCGTCTTCTCGGGGGTCTCCAACCCCTACACGGACCCCGCTCGTTACGAACCCTCCGCTGGAGAGACGACTCGAGGCTCCGTGTGGGGCTACTCACGCGCTGCTCAGTACGGGTGGGTTAGGGGTCGGGCAAGAGGGTTGCGCAACTCCACGGTAGAGACGGCGCCCTGCCACTGACGGTAGCCGCGGCCGGGATTCGAACCGAGCTCGCCGGGTGATCTCAGCACTGCGCCGCCGAGACGTCCTCTAAACCCCCATCCCTCCCATCGCCACATGGCCGCCTCCCAGACGGACCCTGTGCTTCGTGGTGGTGATGGTGGTGGTGATGATGGTGGTGGTGATGTTAGTCCCGGCTACACCGCTGGGTGGCGCTCGGAGCCGGTGGAGTCGGGACTGGCGCCCCCTCCTCCCGTCAGTACCGTGACCACAACCACCAGAGGTGACGCCGCTAACACCACCAGCAACACCAACAACAACATTTCCAGCAGCAGCAACAACAACATTTCCAGCAGCAGCAGCAACAACAACATTTCCAGCAGCAGCAGCAACAACAACATTTCCAGCAGCGGGCCGCGTGGAGCTGAAGCGCCGCGTCCACCGCCGGGAGCGGGCGGAGAGGACGCGGCCCTCGAGGCGTCGCTCTCCTTCGCGCAGCTGCTGCTGCTCGTGGAGCGCGGCGAGGAGGTCCCCGGCCTGAGGAGTCGCGGCCACGTCCGCGCCACGGGCCGCGAGCCGAGCGCCGCCACGGCGCCCCGCCAGCCCAAGCCCTGGCACCGGCCGGCGGCCCCCGCGGGGGGCCTGGCCCTGGGGCCTGTGCGGGCCTCTGGCGTGGACCGGCAGGTCCGGCAAAGGCCCGAGGGTTCTCGGAGCGGCCGTGGGCCCGTCCAGGACGCAGGCGGAGTTGGAGGGCCCACGCAGTCGGGGGCCAGTTCTTGACCCCCCTCCTTTAAGTGACGGGGACACGATCAGAGACACGTTTGGTTAGAGACACGGGTGGTCAGAGACACGGTCAGAGACACGGGTGGTTAGAGACACGGATGGTTAGAGACACGGTCAGAGACACGGGTGGTTGAGACATGGTCAGAAACACGGGTGGTTAGAGACACGGGTGGTTAGAGACACGGATGGTTAGGGACACGGATGGTTAGAGACACGGGTGGTTAGAGACACGGGTGGTTAGAGACACGGGTGGTTAGAGACACGGGTGGTTAGAGACACGGGTGGTTAGAGACACGGGTGGTTAGAGACACGGGTGGTTAGAGACACGGGTGGTTAGAGACACGGATGGTTAGAGACACGGGTGGTTAGAGACACGGTCAGAGACACGGGTGGTTAGAGACACGGGTGGTTAGAGACACGGGTGGTCAGAGACACGTTTGGTCAGAGACACGTTTGGTCAGAGACACGGGTGGTCAGAGACACGGGTGGTCAGAGACACGGGTGGTCAGGGACACGGTCAGAGACACGGGTGGTTGAGACGTGGTCAGAAACACGGGTGGTTAGAGACACGGCTGGTTAGAGACACGGGTGGTTAGAGACACGGTCAGAGACACGGGTGGTCAGAGACACGGGTGGTTAGAGACACGGGTGGTTAGAGACACGGGTGGTTAGAGACACGGGTGGTTAGAGACACGGGTGGTTAGAGACACGGTCAGAGACACGGGTGGTCAGAGACACGTTTGGTCAGTGACACGGGTGGTCAGAGACACGGGTGGTCAGAGACACGGGTGGCCAGAGACACGTTTGGTCAGACACACGTTTGGTCAGAGACACGGGTGGTCAGAGACACGGGTGGTCAGAGACACGGGTGGTCAGAGACACGGGTGGTCAGGGACACGGTCAGAGACACGGGTGGTTGAGACGTGGTCAGAAACACGGGTGGTTAGAGACACGGCTGGTTAGAGACACGGGTGGTCAGAGACACGGGTGGTCAGAGACACGGGTGGTCAGAGACACGGGTGGTCAGAGACACGGGTGGTTAGAGACACGGGTGGTTAGAGACACGGTCAGAGACACGGGTGGTCAGAGACACGGGTGGTCAGAGACACGGGTGGTCAGAGACACGGGTGGTCAGAGACACGGGTGGCCAGAGACACGGGTGGCCAGAGACACGTTTGGTCAGACACACGTTCGGTCAGAGACACGGGTGGTCAGAGACACGGGTGGTCAGAGACACGGGTGGTCAGAGACACGGGTGGTCAGAGACACGGGTGGCCAGAGACACGTTTTGTACAGACACACGTTTGGTCAGAGACACGGGTGGTCAGAGACACGGCTGGTCAGAGACACGGCTGGTCAGAGACACGGGTGGTCAGAGACACGGGTGGTCAGAGACACGGTCAGAGACACGGGTGGTCAGAGACACGGGTGGTCAGAGACACGGGTGGTCAGAGACACGGGTGGTCAGAGACACGGGTGGTCAGAGACACGGGTGGTCAGAGACACGGGTGGTCAGAGACACGGGTGGTCAGAGACACGGGTGGTCAGAGACACGGGTGGTCAGAGACACGGGTGGTCAGAGACACGGGTGGTCAGAGACACGGTGTCAGAGACACGGGTGGTTAGAGACACGGGTGGTCAGAGACACGGGTGGTCAGAGACACGGGTGGTCAGAGACACGGGTGGTCAGAGACACGGGTGGTCAGAGACACGGGTGGTCAGAGACACGGGTGGTCAGAGACACGGGTGGTCAGAGACACGGGTGGTCAGAGACACGGGTGGTCAGAGACACGGGTGGTCAGAGACATGGGTGGTCAGAGACACGGGTGGTCAGAGACACGGTCAGAGACACGGTCAGAGACACGGTTAGAGACACGGGTGGTCAGAGACACGGGTGGTTAGAGACACGGGTGGTCAGAGACACGAGTGGTCAGAGACACGGGTGGTCAGAGACACGGGTGGTCAGAGACACGGGTGGTCAGAGACACGGGTGGTCAGAGACACGGGTGGTCAGAGACACGGGTGGTCAGAGACACGGGTGGTCAGAGACACGGGTGGTCAGAGACACGGGTGGTCAGAGACACGGGTGGTCAGAGACACGGGTGGTCAGAGACACGGGTGGTCAGACTCGTAAAGTTCGCAAGGCGCCCGCGAGGGGAAGTCCACTGCGGAGATGGAGCGATGAGATCGGCTCGTGTACAGGGGCTGGATGGATTCCTGCGGAGTGCGACCGCGAGAGATGGCGACGGACCTGGGGAGGCCTTCATCCAACAGTTGATTGATCATAGAAACAGTGCTGCTGATGGACATGGGTGTTGTTTTAATTGCCATCTCAATATCCACACCAATTCTGTGAACTTTATCCCATATAACGTTAACAATGATGGTGGTGGTTGTGTATATATAAGCACCCCTTTAACCAAACCACCCCCAATTCAGCAGGAGATCCCGTCAGCACTCAAAAACTCAGCAGGGTGGATCCTGGACAGCGCCTGGCAGAACCACCGCCACGCCGAACACAGTCATCGATCGCGTCGTTGTGGAGAACGTCAGTCCCAAAGCAAGCACGCGCGTCTCCTCCCGATGTCTGTCCCTCCGCGTAAACACCCGCCTCCCCTGAAAGTGCCGTAATGTATACACATCACAACAGGCACGTGGGCCCGCTGGGGAGTGCATTTCAGCTGCGTTTGCTTCAACGCAAGCAAAAGCTGCACCGCCAATAGAGGGCAGTGCAGCGAATAAAATTGAATTTCACCGTGACGTCTGTGCTCGCCGCGTTCGCGAACCCGCGTCGACCAGCGTGGTCAATAATGGTCAGTCAATTCGCCGACGGCGTGGAGAGGCGTACTAACATCCAGCGGTGGAACGTACGCACGTGGAACTGCTTACCGCGCCGATTGGAGGAGCGCGGAATGACAAAATAGGCTGTGCATTTCGACTGATTGCGTCGCTGTTGAATGCGAGCTTAATAAATACATACCCAGTTACGAGTGCAAGCGATGTCGAGTGTCTCTGGTCTGACCCTTTCACAACACTTGTGGATGGCAAAACATCCCAGTGTAGCAGGACCCACCTGACTAAGAGTTCTGCGACTTATTGGGGCTTTCATGGAAAGCTGAAGGTCATTAACCATTGACCCACATTGACCAGCGTGGTGAATTATGTTCGAATATTTTTTCTCGACCTGCACGGCGTGGGGGAGGCTCTCACCTAGCAGTAGATTGACAAAAGGGACTGTAACATGGACCGTGCATGCACCCATTACCACTTGGGGAAGAGTGGTGGTGCAGTGGTTAGCACCCTGTGCAATGGGCCTGGGTTCGCTTCCTGGCCATGGCTAACATCACGCTCATTTCACAAACCCGCACTCACCATCATGGTGAAGTATGGCTCATCGACACCCGTGACCCGAGACGGCTTTAGGGCGCCTTCATCCAGCAGTAGATTGACGAAGGGCTGTAATAGACCGATACAGACGCAATGAAGTGCAAAGCTCAAAGTGCAGCCTCGCAATGGCTTGCTCACGCCACTGCTGCAGAGGGAGCTCTTGAGAGCACATCGAGAGGTCATTTGGCCTAATTGTTCACGTTGGTCAGACAATGAAGAGGAGTACCCACACTTTACCCCACCACACACGACTGCTCTATCGATGTAAACCCCTGCGCTGGACAGGAGTGTGGGGGTAGGTGTGTTAGTAGGCTACTGTGTATCGGCGTAATACTCTAAATCTGCCTAATTGGAAATGTTACTCAAATAGGGGTATAACACGGTAGTCAACGCCACCTGCCGACAGACCAATGCCCATGTGTAGGCCGGTGACGAGCCACGTAGTGCCGCGCACAGGGACAGCTGGCACTGGGGGCGCCCTTGGAATGTTTGAGATGAGATGCCTCGCAAGACGCGTTGAGTTGCTGAAGCATTTAAGCAAGCGCCATATAAATACAATTATAATTTAACACGTAGGCTTTCGCTTATGTGGCAGATGCTATATTGGACAGACGGGATGTAACAGCGTAAGACTAAACGAACAGCAAAGAAATATGAAATACTCTCAAACATAATTCTCGGATGATGCAGAACATGCGTGCCAACAAGGACACTCGTTTGATTTTGACAACGTTGAAGTGTTGTTTAAAACTAAATTTTGCTGTGGTTCTTTCGGTAAAGTCACGTAGGTAGAAAAATAATCGATCACGACGTTTCGATCGCAACACAAGCAATCGTCATCAGGTGGGACAACCACAGCAGTTTTTTTCTTGCTGTGGACGCGTATTATTAAGTAATACATCTTACAACTGCATTCCTTATAGAGGAAACGCATGCTAATGAACTGATTACTAATCTATTATATAATTACAATACCCCCCCCCCTACTCTCCTACGCCTCTGATATCTGCACCTGATGGTTCAGTGACGACGTCGTCCTCCGGTTGCTCTGTTGAAGACCGGGAGGAGGTGGATTGCTTCACTATTCTGGCAAATCGCCCGATGATGCTGGTTGTATAGTTACCAGTGAAACGTCACTGTACTCAAATTGTAAATGTTGTGGATTTACTCTCCTACACACCGGTGGGCTGAAGTAGTCACTCACTGGCGCGTTGTTTACGTGACAAACCTTACTGGCTGTGTCGGGTGGTGGAGGGTTACGACACATTCTTACGCAACCTAACCCAGAAACCTTTATTTTGAACAATTAATAATTCTTAGTTGTTTCCCTACCTGCCGCACCGGGAGATCGATTCTTACCGGCGGATTGCAATTTGAAGGTTGCTCTTACCCATTACACCACGTGAGCTGCATGGGTACACGGTGGTGTTGTGCACACGGCGGTGTTATTCACGCGGCGTTATGCACACGGCGGTGTAACTGGCGTTGTGCGCACGGCGGTGTAACTGGCGTTGTGCACACGGCGACGGCGTTGTGCGCACGGCGGTGCAACTGGCGTTGTGCGCACGGCGGTGCAACTGGCGTTGTGCGCACGGCGGTGCAACTGGCGTTGTGCGCACGGCGGTGCAACTGGCGTTGTGCGCACGGCGGTGCAACTGGCGTTGTGCGCACGGCGGTGCAACTGGCGTTGTGCGCACGGCGGTGCAACTGGCGTTGTGCGCACGGCGGTGCAACTGGCGTTGTGCGCACGGCGGTGCAACTGGCGTTGTGCGCACGGCGGTGCAACTGGCGTTGTGCGCACGGCGGTGCAACTGGCGTTGTGCGCACGGCGGTGCAACTGGCGTTGTGCGCACGGCGGTGCAACTGGCGTTGTGCGCACGGCGGTGCAACTGGCGTTGTGCGCACGGCGGTGCAACTGGCGTTGTGCGCACGGCGGTGCAACTGGCGTTGTGCGCACGGCGGTGCAACTGGCGTTGTGCGCACGGCGGTGCAACTGGCGTTGTGCGCACGGCGGTGCAACTGGCGTTGTGCGCACGGCGGTGCAACTGGCGTTGTGCGCACGGCGGTGCAACTGGCGTTGTGCGCACGGCGGTGCAACTGGCGTTGTGCGCACGGCGGTGCAACTGGCGTTGTGCGCACGGCGGTGCAACTGGCGTTGTGCGCACGGCGGTGCAACTGGCGTTGTGCGCACGGCGGTGTAACTGGCGTTGTGCACACGGTTCTCGCAAGCGCAACGCGTTGAAGTCAACACAATGCCTGGCGCTTGCTCGGGGAAACAAAACAACGGCGGGCGCTCACTCCGCCCAGCCAAACCAAACACGAGCGGGCGGACCGGTTTGAGTTGGCCTTCACATCGTACTAATCTAGATACGTGGCCAATTAAAGTTAATTATTCGATGACTCTTTCGTTTACAATGTTTGAGCCCGTAATTAACTCTTGAGGGCCGCAGGCGGTGCCGACAAGTGAAAGATCTTGGTCTAGGTTCGTGGACGATATCGATTGGGCTTCCAATATAGCAGTCGTGTAATGAAGAGTTGGATGCGCAGCCCAGAAAT